GATGTCAACCAAATGGTGGTCATAACATGGGCGCAGCAACCGGTGGTTCTGCGTACAACGATGCAATTACAGCAATATTGCACGATTGCTTCTCTTTTCATCTTTCAACAACATAGAGCCACCAGCAGAGCCGCAATTTACACAATATACACTTTCCATTGCGTGTGCGTAAGTCCGTTTATGAATGCTAGGTTATCGTTTGTGCGGTACACAGTTCCGAAAACCACAGCAACGTAAATTGTTCTTGAAAGCACCTAGAGTCCGTTAAAATAGCCAAGTCGTAATGTTCAATATATAGTCCCGAAAGTCACCAAAACACCGATACAATTACAAAGATCAAACGACGCCAACCAATGTAATTTTGACAGAGTGAAAGATGACAGTATAAAGTAGGCATGTCGATTTGAAATCGTTTAATCGATTGTTTATAATAAAATAGTCGATTTTCCAGATCGATATAGATCTGATGAATCCTTATCCGGTGTCCTGATATCGACTTAGAACACTCCATCGATTCAATGAATCGATTCAAAAACCTCTCGAATTGGACTTATTCAAGAATGTTTCAAACGATTCAAGAAATACTTTTGCATAGTTGGAACATCTGTTCCTTGTGACAGACAGAAAAACTGTTCTGTTCTGGATTAATCCCGGAGTCCGACAACTTATTATTGGGTTTTTATAACTTGAAGTTCCCAGTAGTAGCACGGAGTCTGGATTTGTGTCCGGTGATTGGCAATACGCGCACCCCCTATTACATGAGACGTATAACATAACAGTACTACACACCTCTACATACTCCTTCTGAGAAATACAAGCGTGATGTTATGTTTATTAATTTAATGACGTTTCTATACAATTATTTGTATTTACGGTAAATTATCGTCAATAATGTTCTCTGTCCATATTAGGCATGTTTGAAAATGTCGCGATTGATCAAAAATAGATCTGTTAATGCTTGATTTAATCGAGATTCGATTCCAGTATGTTCGATTTGAATCAATTTGGAGATCGTATTTGTTTCATGAGAGACTGACAAGTGACCATTTAGTGACATCAAAAATAGGAACGCCAAATACGATACGATATATAAATATTTCCTAAGATTTATTATAGCCATACGTTACAAACACACATCACATCATAAATCATCTTTTGTCATACGATAATATTAATACCATAACAAGTATAACAATATCCTACTTTACTTATAATAACACGTACGTCTCTACTTCTTCCATAATTGTAACAATATTAATAATAACGTCTATATCTAGTCTACAATATTGCTCGTGTTTTTTTTTAATATTAATTGTTGTAAACTCAAGTTATTGTTTAGTAAGACGTAAAATACAATCCTTTCTAAACGATCGTTAGAAAATCCTAAATAATTTTATCTTTACGAATATTTTTCGTCAGCATTATTCTAATTACCTATTCAAAATCGAGTATGACCTCATTCATTAGGTATAGTAGGTTTTTTAATATACTTTCAGGGAATAATATAAAATAATATAAAGAAATGGTAATTTTATATTTTTATTGTAGCTTCTTTTTGAAACTTTATTCGAAATAAATTCAAATCTTTATTAATTTAATGTAATTTAAAAATCGATTACAATCGATTGGGCATACCTAATTATTTTTCGACACCACATGGTGATTGGCGAAGATGGCGGCGATTAATGTTATTAGTCGAGTAGAATACTTTTTAATGTTCATTTTTGCACGCAGCTAGTCCGTGTTATAAAAGTATTTGGAACTAACATAATAAAATAGAAAATTAATTATCGTGTATTTCCGATGCTTTTATTACACAGGGCGATTTTGGACATTGTCCTTTAATCCACTGACAAATGTAATTAATAATTAAAAAAAATATGTTGCATTTAATAATTACCGTCTATACCGAATATAATTTTATATTGAACACTAATTGTGTAAAGTTATAGTTTTTAGAGTGTAAATAAACCCATGTCCTGTTTTGAGTTAAAAAATAAATGGTCACTTTAGTTTTTTTTTAGTTAAATTTCGTTTACAAAATTTTAGTTTATAGTAAAAAGTAGGTATATTAATACCTACTTAGATACTTTTTACCGAATTAGGGTAGAAGCCCCTAATACCAGTCATGCCCCTAATTGCAGTCTTTTCGCCTTTTTACTCCATAAATAAGATTTCTAGTAGTCTTAACTACAAATATTTTCATCTAAAAAATTCTTTGTGCCTAGAGGAAACTATATTTATTCAAATATTACCTCGCAGTTTTAAACCTAACAGTGTTAAAATCAAAACAGGTACGCAACGAAAAACGATCATTTTCCTAATTATTTGACAAGTTATGATCCCGGTAAAATTATGCTTACTTTACATTATCTCATATATAGGCTTTTTGATTTGTATGAATATGACTATAGACATAGTAATGCAGTTATTTTTGTTTGAATTTACAACTTATTTATTTTCTTTTAGTGGAAATTAATGGGACTGTAATTAGATAATATAAGAAATGTATGGAGTGCATAATGTCAGCCGCCCGGCTGTTATTTGGTTTGACGTACCTAATAAGATGTACCTAATTTCAGCCACGTAATATAAATCAGAGCTGCCATAAACTGGAATAAATACCATTAATTAGATCATAACTTATTTTATAGCTAAGGGAGTTATGATCAATTCGTCTGTTTTAAAATTGGTTTTAGATTTTAAAGTTTAGCAAAAGATGTACTAGCTTTTCTCTCTGACATTCGGCGTATAGAACATCTTATGTACTCAATTTTTTTTTTGAAAAAGAAGAAAAAACAAGCAATAAATAAAAACAAAAACGGGCCAAAAACTCATAACTGACTTTTTGACAAGACCCGGGATTCGAAACTGAGACCTCATGATCAGCACTCGCACTACTACAACCACTAGACCAACGAGGCGGTACTATACCTAATAAGATATTGTGGTTGGGTGATAATATTGAATTAGCCTTTTATAGTGTAAATTATAATATTTGTCGAAATTTTAATTATGGATTCGAACCTTAAATGCTAATGGTGCTTCATTTTTTATTTGCATTTAATTCAAAGAAAATACACGCAAAAAGCTTCATCACGCAGTAAAAAACACAACAAATATATGTATAACTAATACGAAAAATTATACCCAAAACAAACAAATAATACTACCTATAAATAACCTAATAAGTAATATTATTATCGACTAATATGACGTGAGTGTATGTGCTGGTCGACGCTCTAACGACACGGGCTTCGCGTCGAAGAGCTCAAGGCTCACTGACTTCAGCAAGCCCGTGAGCAGTGAATATGCCCAGATTTTAAAATAAATTCTTAATAAAATCAAATTTTGGTCTTTTGAAAAAAAAATTACTATAGAAATGTTCATTAATAAATTGCCTATCCATTGGTGTAAATCGCAAAATAAAATAATACTTACTTTACGAGGAGATGCATGTTATCAATAATAATTTCACATTTATGTGGTTTCGTTGTAAAGAGATTATATTAATATTTATTCCTTTAAAAAAAAATTGGATATAGCTTTTATGGAATCAAGATTATGTAGAAATATAATGTGTTTTTTATTTGTTGATATATCTTTTAAATAAAAAGTAGATAGCTCCTAAAAACAGCACAAATAACGACTAGCGCGACATTTTGCTCAACCTGCGCCTTAACGCTGCTGCGTTTCGTGTGGTGAGTGTAGAGAACCGGAGACCATTTTCACTGGAAAAGAGGCATTCCATGTTAGTCCTCACGGGTGACAACGCATTTGCATTGCGATTTGTAATCGAGGATAGATGTTGATGTCTATAGGCCACAGCAACCACTTAGCATCAGGTGGACTGTGAGCTCATTTGTCACCCCTATCCTATAAAAAACATTTTTATAGGATAATTTTGACAACAAATACGGAAATATTTGTTGACATAAGATTTTGATAAATTATATACCTTTTTGGAGAATACCAGTTTTGCACAGGCTTCCAAAACTGGTATTCTCCAAAAAGGTATATAATTTAACAAAATCTTATGTCAACAAATATTTCCGTATTTATTTGATCAGTTTCAATAAGCAAAGCACATAAGAAATAGGGGGCTTGTTTAGTGAAAATAAGGTGTAATAAATTTAAGAACTAAAGAACCAACAGTTTATTTTTTTATATCAAAAACTTAAGGTAATATCTAGAATGTAGCTTTAACAGTTACATAAAAAATTTCACCCCTATTTTTGATCCTTAGTGTTGGAATTTTTTTTTTTCAGATTTATTTAGAATCCTTAAACTATTTAATAAAAAAATATTAAGATGATACACAAATGGCAAAGATGGCGCGTATCACATATACAAAAAGACAAACAGTCGAATTTAAAATCTCCTCCTCCTTTTTTTAAGTCGGCTATAAACGTTAATTCAAATGGATTGAAATTGGCAAAACGCTCGAATTTCTTATCTTAAAAACGCATTACTAATCTATTTTTGAAGTTTTATGTGCGTACGTATTGAACAAGTGCACTGCGCGTTGAATTGAATTAGGACGAGGGCTACAACCGTACAACTGTAATATGAAACAGAGAAACAATATTTAGATAACTGAAACAGCATACATTACTATTCCAAATACAAAACAACAAACTCACTATAACGTGTATATATTCTTTGCTATAACTAGTTTATTTACATTTCAAAAGCACGTGCGCGTGCGTAAAACAAGAATTTAAATTTTCATAATATGTTAATAACATAAAATCAGGGCTGTGAAACGGCTGAAGCGATGAACGGGTCACCGTGGTCCAATTATAAAAATAGAAATACAGACTGATCTCCGCCGTCAGTGAGCCGGCTTTCTCGTATTCGCTGTACCTAACCTTAAATTTTCTCGATATTTGTACCGAAAATAATTTTGACGTTATTTGAACAAGTATAATTTAACGCACTCCAGTGTCGATACGTAGAGCGGTTGCGTTTTCACGGCAAAACAAAAACATTAAACGAGCATGTGCGCGAACTACGAGGGATTTTTCAAGAAATTCCACGAGACTATTGACAACTGTATGGACGATGTGACGAGAAATAATTTCGCTAATTTGGAAACCAATTCAAAACGTGTCGCATACTTATGTAGCCTTCCTGCTATAAAATCATACGATCTCAGAAGTGATATTGAAAAAAGTGAAACAGGTGGCGAATTTCCCGTAAAAAAAGACTTGGAAAAGGCGCGGCAATTGAAAGATGAAGGTAACAAAGCCGTGCAAAAGGGCGATTGGGCTAAAGCTTTACAACTATACAGCCAAAGTATGGTGTTTGTACCTCGAAAAGAGAGTAAGTATTATTAAAAACATTTTCCAGTCCACGTTCAAAATCTCATAACTTTTTATTTAATATTATAACAACATATAAACCGTATAGATCATATCAAGTGTTTTGTGTTTAAGGTACACTTTTAAGTTTCGCTGACAAAAGGAAGACCTTAATTTTTAACATATCATAATTTCTACATTCTTAGACTAAAACTGAATAAGATACAAGTTTAGAAGTAGGCACATCTTTATTGTTTGTCCCAATTTTCAGTAAAATCATCATCATTCCGCAAAAGTCCGCTGTTGACACTCCCGTTGTAGGAAGGTTTTACAATTAGCATTTAAACTTTTGAAAATTTTACAAATAAGTAACACAACGGAACCCTGTTTGGTGCGCGTGTTTCCAACACGCAATGCACTTGGGAAAGTTAATACCCATATTATAAGAACACACATATTTAAAGAAATAAAGATCTTATCTTTTCTTTAAATAATTATTTCCCTATATTCATCATTATCATCATTAAAACCGGTCACATGTCCACCACTTAACATAGGCCTCCTCTAAGGAAAGTCTAGTCTAGCATTGTCTTGAGCCACCTGCATACATCGACTTCCTGCATCTCTTACCAGATCGTCACTCGATTCTATACAGGTTGCCACTCAAGAACCTTTTTCATCGGTCGTAGGTTCATTGATCTATATTATGGCCGGCTCATTGTCACTCCAGCTTACTGATCCGTTGCGCTATGTCGGTTACTCTGGTTTCACTGCGTATATCCTCCTTACGAAGTCTATCTTGCTCCTCTTATTATAAAAACATAATTCATTTAGGTACTACTAGGTACTCATAATTATTCGTTATTTTTACAGCCGAAGAGCTTTCAATTCTCTACGCAAATCGATCAGCCGCTCTAAGTCATCTGGAACAGTATGAAGAGACACTCTCCGACATAAAACGCTGCCTGTCATTGGGCTACCCTCGACATCTAAGATACAAGGTGTACGAACGAAAGGCGAGGACTTTGCTTGTGTTAAAAAGAAATCAAGAAGCCATAACTGCTTTTCAGTAAGTGGAACAAGGTTTCAACGTAATAAATTATAAAATCAAATTTAAAGGCGGAAAAACCATTTCCACACTGACAATTGTAAACGTATAGATACCACAATATTATTTGTTTCTATAGATTACATAAAAACGTTACTTAAATTAAATAAACCCTTTCCCTCAACCATTTCTCATTTCCTTGTATCGTTGAAAAGTAATTTTATGGATTTTAATGTCAACACGTTTCGATTGGTACAGTAGTCATTAGTCGCTGGACTAACACGAAACGCCAGAAATGGAACCTTTTTTTAATAATATTCGCATAAATATAAGAAATCAAATATCGTTACAGAAATACCATAAGTGCGCTTGATGAAGCTGAAAGCCTCAACAAGGAGAAAAGGCAAAAAATGCGAACAGATGCTAAGCTTATGTTGGAGATATTGAATAAAGGTCTCACATTAGCTGGTAACCCAAAAGATCCAGAGCCATTGAAAAAGACACCCCCAAAGCCAAAATTGCCAGGAAAAAATAATCCTCAGTATCCAGCCGCTTCTGAAGCCATACAAATAGATTTTGACGAGAAAAAGGGACGATATGCAACGGCTACTAGAGATATACAGGCCGGAGAGACTTTGCTAATTGAGAGACCTTTTAGCGGAGTACTCTTAGGAGAATACTCTAGGACACATTGTCAGAATTGTTTCATTAAGTAAGTATTTTTATAAATCACTCATTATAAAAAAAAATAATGTAAAAAAGTTAAATACGGAATATCTAGGTTAGTTGATGATTGTTCAAGAGTCAAGGTTTCGTAGTTCCATCAACAGTCTATCGTCACAAATCACAGGTGGCTGCTTACGGACTAATAAGCGTCGAGCAACCCTTGTTCAGCCACATGCTTTCCGCCGCCGTACCCTGAAGCCGGCTCAGTGGCTTAGCAATGAGTTCCAGCGCTAAGGGCCGCGGGTTAGAATCCCGCACGGAACAAGTATTTGTATGAACTACGAGTACAAATATTTGTTTCGACTCTGGATGTTTGTCCTTGTGCAATTTATGTATGTAAACTACTCCCACGATACAGAAGAATGTCTTAGTCTGGAGGTATTTGTTAAAAAAATGAAAATCAATTTAAGGTATACGTAGATATTATTTTATATTTTATTGAAAAAAAAATACAGATTAAACATTTACCAAAATATATAAACAAGTTTCGGATATATTATAAAAGATAGAAGCCTTTATAGATTTATATTTTTTTCAAAACTTAAACATCTTTTTTTTGTCTTCGGCAATGTCAACACATAATTATTTACAGTAACAGTGTATAGCTTACGAACTTACGATACCTTTACCTGCGTCGATTTTGTATGAACTATATATTGATATTACTGTATACTGTATATATTACTGTATACTGTATATATTACTGTATACTGTATATTGGGTATTAGTGTGAATGAAATGCAGTGCATGTGTGCATGTGTGCATGTATGTATGTATATGTGCGTGTGTGTATGTGCGTGCATTGAGATTAAGACATGCATGTACGTTTGTGATATAATAATGTGTCGCAACATCAATCTATCTTCATACACACATACTTATAAGACCGGTTCTTTACATTAAGATGTGATAAAACGATAGGGGTCGTAGAAAATAAGAAACGTACCAATAAATTAATCCAATTGTCTAGAAAAAAGTCTAAACTCTATTTCTATTTCAAACTATGCAAAGACTGTCTTCGTGAGTTAGTAGATGAATCTTCTACCTCACTAAGACAGTCTTTCTAATATAAATGATAATTATTCTAGCTGCGACCTGTATTTCAGATGTTCTATTCCACTGCCGTGCCCGAATTGTCCAAATGTCGTATTCTGCAGCGAAAAATGTTCGGATACCGCCCAAAAAACTTATCACAGCTACGAATGCCAAATTTTACCTCTGCTATGGAAATCAGGCTGCTCCGTTACTTGCCATATAGCTTTACGAATGATCACACAAAACAGAAAAGAATACTTCAATGAAATCAGTGCTAATATTGACGAAAAACCAACCGGTGTCTACAAGACAAGCGATTATAGGAACATCTATCACTTAGTCGCTCACGAAGACGAGAGAACCAAGCAGGATTTCTTACATAGATCTCAAATGACAGTCTTCTTGGTAAAACTACTCGAGATAAGCGGCTACTTCGATGGAAAGCCAAGAGAAAAACCAGTGGAAATCGACGAACTTAAATCTATGGGTGTTGATGAAAAGCATAACGAAGCAGTTGCATTGATTGGAGGCCTAGTATTGAAAAATCTGCAAATCTTACAATTTAATGCACACGAAGTATTTGAATTGCAGTGCCCAAAACCAAGGGTTGGGAAAAATATTATTAAGCATAACGGGAAATCGGTCTTTTTGGCTGGTGCTATATTTCCGACTCTTGCGTTATTCAATCATTCATGTGATCCAAGTGTTGTAAGGTAAGATTTAAATATCTAAATTAATACTTCAAACACGATAGAATGGTACCGCAAAGGTCTACCAATATAGTCCCAAATTATTAGCATTATTTAAAAAAATACAGTAAGTATTTTTTAAATGTCTTATAAGTCACAACTCCAGATTAACTTTGACATAGGGACTTCAATCACCTCAGTCTCACGTGACCATGGGTGCTGCCAAGCACCCGAAACGTCAAAAATTAAAAATAGGTAAAATTAAACGTGATAAAGTCCGTAAAAAATAGTTCTATTCAATGTCTTAAAAGTAAATAAAGTTCAACTGCACCAACATACCGATGGGGACCGAACTTAGCATTTATGTACTAAGAAATTTAAAAATAAAACGAGTTACCAGCTCTTGCGCTTGTGGGACGTATGTGTATGTGTGAAACTTCCGAGGGGAATACCGCCCCATGATCTGCAACTACAGTCACTAATTCTCTTTTTACCTATAATAGCCAGTGCTTGGCTACAATGCCACCTGTTAGTAATTGGTGAAGAAGCCCTTGATGGCAAATTGCACTGTCTTATCGTAACTAAAGCCTACATACTTTTGCCTTAAAGACACTCAGATTGTAAAAGACGGAAAGACAGACACCGGCAAATTATTCCACTCCTTAACACATTCAGTACCACCGACTCGCCCGGAGAGTTCACGTAAATCTCATTCCAGTGCCGACGACTCGTCTGGCGAGTTCAGTGTTTTTCACTAATATTTCCAAAATGCATCCGTATTTTCTGCTTAAAATTATAGTTTAGACTAAATATATGCTAAACTAAAGATTTACATGGTGGGCCGGGTGTGGAGACTCCGTTTAAATTTGAAAGGAAACAAACTATTCTGCAATGCCTTGAACTCGCTAGGCGAGTTCCCTGACATAGATCCTCAACCATTTACATGTTAGATAACGACGTCAACATAGTAGCATGGACTACCTACATACTTGTGATATGGAACTAATATTCACAATAAAAATAATACATACCATATTCTTAAAACTGAAAGCCCGTATTATAATAATAATCGTTTATTTCCAATCAAAAGTAGATAAAGAATGTGTGTGGGCGTGCGTGCGTGTTGTTGTTGTTGTTGTTCTCGAATAAGTTCCTTAAACATTCTATTAACATCAATTTTAAATGTATCGAATTCATCCTCACGCTTCCTTTTGGTACGGTAAGCTGTTCGGCTGGCCATCGGAATCGGAATAAATATTTGGGTCTGAATGGCAGTGTTTGCGATGTAAAGTTGATGGCCGCCGTCGAGACGTAGGTGTCGGTCGCGCTAGTAGCAACAATGTTCTGCGGCTGCGAAGTAGACTGCGGTGGCGAGCGAGAAATCATAAAGCGACGTTAAAACAATGTACCAGAGCAATATAAACAATCAGGTATTACGTATTTATTGCAAGCTCCAATGTTTCGTTACTATTTGCTTAGAGGTCAAGCAACTGGTCGTTGATTGACGCTTCTTATACAAAAGGTCTTTTCGTCTTATATCACTTGATCTCTCGTCCTGTGCATACAATATTCATTTATGTTATCCCTGTTTTATTCAATGACGCAATGATTAAGCGTTTTTTTCTCGTTTGAACTATTTATTAATATGCAAAAAAAATTATAACACTTCAATAATAAGGCTTTTACTCACACAGCTGCATGGGAATTTAGTAGGACTAGTGTTGAGAGTTAGTGAACACTTCTTCACTTTTATGCACTCCTAATTATTTATTTGATTTTGTCGGAATTTAACATAAGTTAACTGTATTTAACTAACTAAACCACACACGTCTGGTCTCTTCGAGAGTCCGAGGGGAAGGATATATATTAAATTATTTCATGGTAAAATTGTCTATTCACAAGTATTAGAAATTCAAAATATAACCTTAACAATAACCACAATTTAAAAGATTGACAACCACTGCTTAAATTACGACGACAAACTACCTTTTATTTTATCCAAAGAGTTTTTTGCCATTTTTACAAGCCGAATAGTCCTGAAACACTTTTTAATTGCGTTAAACACGTTAAGTACACTGTGACGGCCACAAAAATTACAAAACATAGAATTTACCCTTACTTAGTGCCAGTGAACTCGCGTGGCGAGTCGATTCAATTTATATTGCAGTGCCGGCGACTCGCCTGGCGAGTCAACCGTAAAATGTAGACGGCATCCGAGAAGACATCATGAAAATCGTAGTGGTGATGAATGTGTTAACTGTACCTTTTTACGCGGTAGAACCATGCTGCAGCTATATTAGTAGTATAGATGTAGCATGAATGGGTCGGCTCGACCGGGGAAGGACTACGCTCTCACAGAATACCAGCGTAAAATAGCAGCTTAACACTGCTGTGTTTCGTATGGTGAGTGTAGAGAACCAGAAACCCTTATTACTGGAAAAGAGGCATTCCATCTTAGTCCTCACGGGTGACAAGGCATCTGCATTTTGATTCTTTATTGAGGATAAATGTGGATTTCTATGGGTCACAGCAACCATTTACCATCAGGTGAACTGTGTGCTCGTTTGTCACCCTATCCTATAAAAAAAACCTACGCATTATGAAAAACGTAGCAAACCGTTTGGTTGAATTGCGTGGAATATTGACAACAAAAGGGTGATGATCCGCTGATTGCATGTAACACTTAGCCCGTAAAAGGTTACATGGGCTTCTCCCTACTTTATTTACAGTAGCATACCGTACTTCATTAACCAATTTATTTACAGTAATCGCCACGCTTAGCATGACGTTCGCAGTTCTCATCTCTGGCCTGGCTATTTCCATGTATTAATTACGAGATGGTTACCGTGTAAAAATATCCACTACCCTATTCCCGTGGGTGTCGTAAGAGGCGACAGACTGAAACAAATCAGAAGATGGGTAGCAGCATCTTCCTAATAACAACTGCGGTTGCCAACCCGCCTGCCCTGCGTGGTAACTATGCCAAATATTTCCCTTATGAGGCAATGATTGGGGGAGGCCTATGTTTAACAGTGGAATTTTTAGAATGTATAAATGGTAATGCTACCGCCATCTATCGAAATATCACAAGAACTTCTAGGCATATTTATAGGCCTCTCTTACGAAATCGACTTCATGATAATTTATGATCTAGTGGAGGATTCACGCATAGATTAATAATATATTCCAGAGAGTATAACGATTACACTAAACACCACATGGAACTTACCATATAGTCATTTGCAATCTGAAAAATACTACTGCCCATCTCCTCTTAAATTTTCTCTGTCGCCTCTTACGACACTCACGGAATGAAACGTGAAATGTGGTAAAGTAAGAAAATGACTTTCAATAAGAATTACATGTAGGTAATCCATATTGAATAAAAAAATATTCTATTCTATTTTATTCTATGATGTAGAGCTCTTACGCTGTGTAGTCTTATAATAGTTAATTACACTATTATTAATTTAAGGGACTTTTTATTCAATTAACACTTTGAATGTTTGTTTAGATATTTTTGCGGACCGTACATCGTCGTGAAAGCTGTTAAAAACATAAAGAAAGGGGAAGAAGTGGCCGAAAACTACGGTCCAATCTTCACAACTGTGCCTAAAGAAAACCGGCAAGCAGATTTAAAAGAACAGTATTGGTTTGATTGCACTTGTGTTCCTTGTCAGCAAAACTGGCCACTTTACGAGGAGATGACAGAAAATTATATGAGGTTTAAGTAAGTTAAATGTATACTTTTTATACACACAAAAATAAAACAATTATACTTATATGCAAATATGCCAACCGCTGTAGAATCTACGACCTATTGAAAGATATTTATGAAGAGGCGAATTACACCGGCGCGGCGTAGTGTCCGGCGTTCGTTATCCTAGCCAACGATGGATACAGATGACTCATCCGCAAGGCCCTCAGTATCTGACAATAGACTTATGAATTTGTGTTGGGCTCCGTTACCTTCACAGCCTATCAAAAAATTCCACTGATGAACATAGGCCTCATAGATTGCCTCAAAGGCGAAATATTTGCCATAGTTGCCACGCTTGGCGAACAGGCTGGCTTCCGCATTTTTTCTATCGTGTCGGGCTCATTGTATACCAATATTTTAACATGCAGATATTCTTAAATATATGAACTTTATCATTGTTTCTTTAAATTGCAGATGCGATTCAGACCGACCCTGTCCTAACGTGGTGGCGGTGCCCTACGACTGTCAAGAGTTTATGATAAAATGCGGGCTATGTGAACAACATACCAACATATTGAAAGGACTTAAATCTTTACAGGTGAGACATAACGATGTTGTTCAATTTAATTCCTTATCCTGACATAATGAACTAATAACCGATTTTAAATGAATCAATTTTTCTGTCGTAACACTTTCAATAGACTTACGATCTGAGTGTCATGACTTTTAAACGATTTTTCAAACATCTAATACGCACTTTCTACCCAGAGGTCTAGATTGTTCTTCTTATATCATTTGTTGTATATTTTACGTCTGACTTTAAAATATTTACGCTTTAAGTAACTTAAGTAGGTGCTCAAAAGAAAGAAAATACATATCTACATATTATGTAAAAATTTAAACAATGGATCGGATCGGACATTAGTGACAACCAACTTAGTTTTAACAAAAAATATTGCAATAGGTTGGTTTTTAGCATAGAAAATTATTATAACAGTAATTAATATTATTACTAGTTTTATTGGCTATTTTTGTTTTATAACGTATTTTACTTCTTAGAAAGCGATCCAATTTATATTAGGAGCGTATTGTGATTTGATAAAGCCGCGTATCGATTATGCGCTCCAAGAGATCGAACATTGGCGCGCGCTCCAGTCGCGCGAAATGGATACCGCCTTAGAATGCGCGCCAAATTGTTCGTTGGAACGCTCAAATATAGAGCGGGCCGCTCCATCTGATGCATTGTAATATGTATAGTAAAATAATAACTCAATGATCTGGTGTCGGTTTTTTACCGCGTATCAAAGTAGTTTAAGTTTTGGCGCGCGCGCCAGTTGGGACCGTTGTTTTCATCATCGTATGTTCGTTGCGTTTCGTGCTATGGATAACCGAAGTTGACGTAAATTGATAAAATGATATGGTTCAAAAGAACAGCTGTGGAATAGCAAGTCGTTTTTATAATAATAACGCCACGTATCGATTACGCGCTCCAAAAGTTCAAACATTGGCGCGCGATCCAGACGCACGAAATGGATACCGTCTTGGAACGCGCGCCAAATTGTTCGTTGGAGCGCTCGAACGTGGAGCAGGCCGCGCGCATCAAAGTAGTTTAAGTTTTGGCGCGCGCGCCAGTTGGCACAGCTGCTCGTACACGTCCAACATCTATGTTGAACGGTCAAACACTGGAGCTGCTACCGCGCGCACCTGGTGCGCTTAGTTGATACACTTCGAACATTTGGAGCGCGTTCCGCGTCGCGCACTGGTCGGAGCGGTCATTCATGGCGCGTGCGACAGGAGCACGTAATCGATACGCGCGTAAAGCACACAGAGAAGATTCATGGAACTATTAAAGTGACAGCTGTTCGTACACGACCGACATCTATGTTGAACAGTCAAATACTGGAGGGGCTGCCACGCGCACCAGGAGCGCTTAGTTGATACACTTCGAACATTTGGAATGGGCGAGCGCCAGAAGCGCGTAATCGATACGCGGCTTAAGGCATTTATTCCACATATATTAAACATAATATAGTTAACGAAGTTAGTAGGTTTGTTTACTCTATCGTTGACTTTTATATCCCAGATGTTATGGATTCCTCTGGGAGCGTATTAGCGTCGATTAATCCTAAAAATTAAGAACATACCGTGAAATATAGATACAAATCGGATCTCTCTTCCCGCCATACCAGTAAGCAGCCAAAAATTGTGGCTTAACTTCTACACGCGCAGCTAATGCAGAGCGTGTAGAAGTAAATCTTAGTCTTAGAATATAATACTCAGGTAGGTACTTAACTGCGGTCTTAAGCCGGTATACCGAGAAAATCACGAGCGTAAACTTTAACTTCTCAATGTCAAAATTTCGTATGCGATATGGTCTACTCTAATATTGCTATTGTGAAGTCTGAGTTTAAAGTACTTGAGACTCTCAGAATACCGGTCTTAAATCAAAAATTAGTGGTGGGTGGAGGAAATGCATGAGAATATCTCTAAAGCCATGCATTCGTTTAAAACCCACTATACGGTATTAATGGTATACTTCAAAGAACGGTGAGCTAAATCAATTACCGCATATCGTCGCGTGGGTGTATTAAGAGGCGACAAAGAGAAACTAAAACACGAGTTGGGCAGCGCCTTTGCGATAAGCGCTGTGGTAACTAAGGTACGTGAGGATAATACGTCACCTTAAGCTTTGACGTTCTATAAAACCAAAACTAGGAGGAGGACAGAGACAAAAACACAAAGTTATTTAATTATTTAACTAATATATAAAGAAAAAAAGATCAAACAAGCTTTGAAAATAATTAGGAACACTTCAAAAAATTAACTACACTACACAAAATTAACTATACTACAATACTAAAATAGACTAAAATATTTACTATAAAGTCAACTGTCAAAATGGCGTCGATAAAGCAGCGCCCTTTTGACCCTTTATTATTTGGGTGACTGGTATAGAGCTATCTTATAATAGAACCATCCATGCAAACAAGGCTGTAGTTTTTAAGTTATGCGAAAGTGACCATATCAACCGGATGACCATATTGCCCTCACGTATTATATGACAAAATCTCTATGAGGTAATAGGAGAGGCCTATGTACTACAGTGACTTTTATAGGCTATAATGGATGAATGGATTGGATGATTCAAGATGTTAATAAACATACACTATATATGATTTAAAAATTTATTTTTGTGAAATTTTTCACATCCTTATCAAATTTCAATGTTTCGAATATTTTTAAGGGTAACAGTTCAAAGCTAAAAACTCACATACCAAATCTATATTGCATCATTAAATGTAAAATAGGCCAAAGTACAATAGTCAGTTAATACAAACGAACCAAAACACCTGAATGTACAGTTGACAATTTAGTATTTTTTTAAATAACAAACAGTATCTTTAAAGAAATTTATTACGATAAATTATACGTTATAACATTAATTAATAGGATCAGGCGATACTTTGCGAAAATCCATTATATTAAAGATGTCAAAAATTAATTGGGCAAGATCTGCATAAAAAATAAAATAAATGAAGTGTCTTACCTATCCCCATTCACCATCCCATCACCACTACTCCGGTGATGGGATGGTGACAGAGATAGTGCACGCGGTTGAGGGCGGTGCTCTTCAAACTAGGCAAAACGCCTAATTTTCTTTGTATTTTTATGCAGATCTTAGTTAATTAATTTTTAACGTCGTTAAATTTAAAAATTGTAACATAATTCTCCTAAAGATTTTAAATACCGTAAAATGGGGTGAATAGAATTTAAGGGGGGAATAGAACAAAAAGCGAAACTTAGTTCGTTGCATTATTGCTCTCACAGTGCTCAATGAAATTAGCTACATTTGATTTTTTTATATACGGCAACATTGATTGTGTTATGGCAACATCGTCATGATAGTGAAGTTGTTCATAAATGCGAAAAATAATGTCTCAAAGTGATCAAGTAACGGTTGTGAATTTGAGAAGCGTAAAACTTTTATTTCTGTTCGTTACTACGATTGAATTCAGACATCAATACGAATTTATGCAAAGTGTTAGTTACTTAACTATTAAGAAAACTCAAAGGTAAGTCAAATTGAGCATGATTTCTGTTCTAAATAAGTCCAAAAGTTATGCTACCTATAAATTGAATAAGTTTGGGGTGAATAGAAGACGCCTGAGGGGTGGATAGAATCGAGGTATGGGGTAAATAGAAGCGCGTAAAGTCTGAATAGAAGTGCACGAGGGGTGAGTAGCAATACGACTGGGGTGATTAGAATTGTCATTGCTAGGGCTGCTACACAAAATTATACCTGATACTTTTTTGTACTTATGGAAGATTGTAGGTACCTAGTGACTGTAGTTTTATGAAATAGTTAGTTAATGTTTATATTTTCATTCGTATTGAAAATAAATGTTTATTTTGTTTGTTCAGATTATTTTGGACAATGCCGCGCATTTATAAACCTGAACCTGGAGGCAAGCGCTATAAAAGGTATGACGAAAATGTTCTTAAGCAAGCGGTAGAAGATTATTTAATGGGTAATGATTCGATAAAAACTGTAGCTATCAAACACAATATACACCCATCAGTTTTGTATCGCCACAGCAAAGGACTAGTAAAATCGCAAGGTGGGCAAAGGGCACTTTCGTTGACAACTGAAGAATATATCATCAAATACATAAACGTTTGCGCAGAATGGGGCTATCCACTGGACTCACTAGACTTAAGATATATTGTTAAAATGTATCTGGATAAGCTTGGGATTACTCATAAGCGATTCAAAAATAATTTCCCTGGGCCTGATTTCATCCAATGTTTTTTAAATAGACATAAAGATAAAATTTCTCAACGAATATGCCAAAATATTAAGAGATCTCGAGCTGCCGTGTCAGCAGAAACCATAACAAAATATTTTGAAGAACTACAAATATCTTTGGCCGATGTTCCAGCGGCAAATATCGTCAATTATGACGAGACAAATCTCGCTGACGATCCAGGGCGCAGAAAAATTATTACGAAACGCGGCACTAAGTATCCAGAACGTGTCATGAACCACACAAAGGCCAGTGTTTCCTTAATGATAGCTGGGTCAGCAGAGGGCCAGATTTTACCACCATACGTGGTATACAAAGCACAAAATTTATATAATACATGGATTTCTCACGGGCCTAAAGGTGCAAGGTATAATCGTTCGGCATCAGGATGGTTCGATGGTACAATTTTTGAAGATTGGGTGCAATCCATCGTCATACCCTTCTTTGCTGATAAGCCGGGAAAAAAGCTGCTAATAGGTGATAATTTATCTTCACACTTGTCGGTCGATATGATAAAACTTTGCAAAGAACAGCAAATTGATTTTGTATTTTTACCAAGTAATTCAACACACATAACTCACCCTCTCGATGTAGCCTTTTTTAGGCCCATGAAGGCAGCTTGGCGGCAAATACTTCTTAAGTGGAAAAAGACAGATGGCAGCAATGAGACAAGTGTGCCAAAAGGTTGCTTCCCTAAATTACTGAAGAAATTAATGGAGGCAATACAAGAAAATGCTGAGTCTAATTTAAAAGCTGGTTTTAAAAAAACTGGTATCTATCCTTTAGACCCTACACAAGTGCTATCTCGAATACCAACACAATCGAACAATAGCAGTAGACATAGGGAAGCAGTGGATGAGTCTGTACTAACTTTACTAAATGACATGCGATATGGTACTATGGGCGTAAAAGAATTAAAAAGAAAGCGAAAACTCGACGTGGTGGCAGGAAAGAGTGTTAGCGAATCTACTGAGGATTATGTTGACTCCGAAGTAACACCGGGTCCGAGTACATCAAAACCACAAAGAAAAATAAAAAAGCCAGATAATTCAGTGGAAAAAGAAAATCTATTGCCTAAAGAAACAACAAACTTAAACAAAAGTATTAAAGGAAAAGGGATCGGTAAAAAGACAAAAAGGAAGGCAAGCATGTTGATGGAGGAAAATATGGGCACAGGCAATGCATTTACAGACAAACGAAATGATATTATAGACCTCAATGACAGTGTTTTAGATATGCCTGTATATTTTGAAAATGACTTGGAATGTGGAGGAGAACTAACTATTGAAAACTGTCCACTAAGTGATATAATAATAATAAACTCTACAGCAGAAGCTGAAAATACAGAAACCGGTCTAAACAACGTCAGTCAGTCTGATCATGCTGGTGAATCAAACTGTTCGTTAGGAAATAACGAAGAAGAATATTCTGTGGCAGAAGTTATAACTGAAACTTTACCGAAGATGAAAAGAGAAAAAATAAAGATAATAGAAAATAAAAACTTTTTAGAAACTCGCAAGAATATTACGTATGATCAAAAGTACAAAAATGTTTCCCCTGAAGCGCCTTTAATAATTTTAAAGAAGACTGCAAGACCGAGCAAATATTATAAAGACGATGAGGCTATACTAAGAGACTTACTAGATGATAATATTTAAATATAAATTCGGAATGCTCCAAATAATATTATAATAATTACTTACGTACGTAATATGATTAATAAAAATATTAACTTTATTTTATGATTATTATGTTAAATCACATAGGTTTTGTTTTTAGTTGATTTTATTTAGATTCTTTTGCATTACACAAGTACGTATATAGAAAGAATTTTTCACTTTATAAGTTCTTTATATTTAGTCCCGTCAGTTAGATCATCAAAAAACGTTAGCCACGTATCTTTTGCTTCCTTAAATTAATAAAACTTGACATTGGTAAAGCGCATTAAAGCGCTCTGGAGTGGGGATTTTGTTGTACTATCTTGTGACATCATCCGAAGTTTAAAGGCGTTGTATCATCCTCATTTTTTATTTAAGTGACAAAATAAAAACACGTTGTTACAATATGTTTTGATAATCTAGCTGACGTACTAAACATAATTTTTTGGTAAAATTCACTGTTATGTTTATTAAAAAAAAAATTGTGTGGGTGATTGGCCCTAATTGTTTGCATAAAAATATAATTTACTATCCCTGTTCTATTTTTTTAAAGTTAATGGTACTACAATATATAATAAAAAATAAAAATATAAATTTCTTTGCAACTTTCCGCTAAACATATAAAATGATGTGTCTTACCTGGATTGAAGCGCACCTCCCGCCCTCCCTCAATTGCATACACTAACTCCGTCACCACTAGACCAAGCACCACTACTCTCAACACCACTATTCCAGGCAAGACACACCATCGACGATAATACGACACGTGTTTCGCCTCTACACGAGGCATCCTCAGGTAATATAGACTCTACGGCGGCTGACCGCTAAGCTTAGCGGATAATGGATTTCCGCAAAGTAACGCCTGATTCTATCAATACAATATATAATTTATAGGTATATGTTCTAGGTACATACATAAATAAATTTTGACAACCCTAGCATTTTTTTCTATTGACCCCCTTTTCGACTCCATTCACCCATATCGCGGGTAAATAGAAAACGCGCAGATATTGTAATTTATTAAATAAATGACGAGAAAATTAAGTTAATCTTTCATTGAAAACAGTTTATGACACTTTAACTCACAAGACATGATGACTGCTACCTTCGGAATTTGCTAAAAACATACTGAAATTTCGATTCAAAAGTTGAAATCCTTTCTATTCACCCCATTTTACGGTACAAACATCAAATGACTATTTTGTAAAAATTCAATATATAAGGAGCAATATTTTATTTTCTCATTTCAAGATTTCTCCCTCCTTCTCCTCTAATGCATATATCTCTAATTCTGTTAAAAGGATTGTGAAACTGTACTCGTAAATTTTCATATTCTAGGAAATGTAGATATAATGAAAAACTAGGTACGTACGTTTTTATTTAAAAGGAGAAAAATGTCTCATTTCGTGAAGGTGAAAATGTTATTGCCCGAAACAATAGGTCAAAAAACAAATGTATGCAATTGCCTCCAAAACTTGCAACTCTCTATCGCACGATACGGCAATATGGAGCGAGTGGTATGAAATAGATAGCATTTTTGAAAATATCTACTCGCGCCGCTTATAGGCACTTCACAATCCTCTCAAACCGTATTTATATAAACATGTGCTTAACCGTTGTGACGCCACAACTTCATACGTGGTACGGTCATGCTGCTGGTGTATTGTGGCTGCAAACTTGACCGGAAAAGGAACACGACCACGTGTCAACATTAAATTGCAACTTGATCCTGCTGTATTTCATGTGGTGGGCGACGGAAACTGAAAATCCTTTTTCCCGGTAACTAGGTATACAATCTTGACAAGGGTGACAACGCATTTTTTTATTCTAAATCCACAGCTTCCATATACCATCAGGTTTAGTGTGTACTCGTTTGTCATCATTGCTAGTATAAAAAAAACTCAAATGTTCTGTCTAAAAAAGAAAACAACCAGAGGAACTCCATTATCATCGTCATAACGTAACATGAGATGATATCTTAACATACAAGTGCACTTTATTTTTATTTACTAGTAAAAGTATTTGCAACCAATTCGTCACAAATACTATCACGTTCAGTATATATAAACTCCATATACGATTGTGTAACATAACATCGTATCGTTCCTATATAAATCACCTACGTAGTCATCCGTCTCTGGATCCCAGATGCACCGTTGCGCACACTTTACTCCGGCTCCTTTCATTTCTATTATAGTTGATTGTACTAGAATTTTGTACCTAAAATTCAAAAGTAAAATATCTATAAGTAATATTAGCCGAAATGCTAATTTTTAACCAAATATAACTTTTTAGCCGAATTATTATATGGTAGGACTTCTTTTTTACTTAGGAGTAGATATAGATAGATACACTTTATTGTACTTTAAAAATATATAAATACGAACAAAAAGGAGAGAAAAAAGCGATCTCCTCCAGACAACCTTTGGATGGACAGGATCGCAAGAACACAATAAACACGTGTGTGTGGTTTGGCGGCAACAATAACATTATTTTTATTATAAACCATAAAATTGTAATATAAAATGGCATATAAGTAAATATAGGTAAGATTTCTGCCACCAAAAAGTATGTTCAATAGTGCATAGAGAGCCAATGTGATCACTAGCTATGAAGCATTCGATCTTAGCCCTCACAAATGACAACACATCTCTATCTGTAGCCTTGTTAGTTCGAAGTTGTTTGCAGGTGTCCCATAGGCTGCAGTAGCCACTTACCATCAGGTGGATTGTCAGTGTGCTTGTTACTTCAATTTTATTTAAAAAAATGTCTCTTAATCTATTAAATAATTATAATTAAATATTAATAATTAAAAGCTAAAGATTTTTTACGTGAACCATGCTGCAGCTATATTAGTAGTATAGTTGTAGCACGAATGGGTCGGCTCGACCGGGGTAAAACCACGCTCTCAAAGAATACCAGCGTAAAATAGTAGCCCAAAACTGCTGTGTTTTGTATGGTGAGTGTAGAGAACCGGAGACCTTTTTTACTGGAAAAGAGGCATTCACTCTTAGTCCTCACGGGTGACAAAGCATCTGCATTTGGATTCGCAAAAAAAGATAGATGTAGATGTCTATGGGCTACAGGAACCACTTACAATCAGGTGGACTGTGTGCCCGTTTGTCACCCTATACTAAAAAAAAAGCCCAGGTTGACAATGATATCAGGATGTCAAACATTTCGGTCTCCAAAAAGTCTTCTTACTAATAATTGGAGTAAAATATGATCAGATGCAATTAGGTATATGCTTAATGCAATTGAAGCTATACAACAGTGTTTTGGCAGCGATGCTGCTTTTAATATTTGCTATAAGTTAATATAAGACGGTTGTTAATGAATCACCTATTCATATCAAGTTCCTGCACCCTCTGACGCACAGCGTTTGCAATCAACTTCGCCCATTTCGGCGCTTGGTCTGCCCGGTACTGCCGACCCATCAATTGTTCCTTCATTGTAGAGCTGATAATGTCTCGTACATTCTGACACTGGAATCTGAATAAATGAATTGTATGTTATATTTCGTCAATTCACGATTTATAAATACACATTATTTAAGGCAATGAATATACCTAATTTATGTGTATATTTGTGTGTAATGTTACTGTTGCATTATTAAATATTCAGTCTAAATAAGCAATGAAAAATATAATGCAATTCGAAATATTTTTAGATATTACAATTATAGGTGGTAGAGCCATGCTCTGCAGCTATATTATAGTTGTATCACGAATGGGTCGGTAAATTAGCAACTTATTGATGCTGTGTTCCTGTTTGCTGTGGTGAGTATATAGAATCAGATATCCTTTTTTATTGGAAACGAGGCATATTCAAGGGTGACAACATCTGCATTTTAATTCTTAACCGGGGATAGATGTAGATGTCTATGGCACACAGCATCCACTTACCATCAGGTGAACTGTGTGGTATAAAAATATTAAATAACCAAATTAAATGCCCAATCATATGACAGTCACTTTTCAATAGTTTTCTATCTCCCACACTAACAGTCAATACAAAATCTTTGTACTGAGATATACAAGTATTATATTAGTGGTTAAAAATAGATAGGCCAAGCCACATTTGAAGGAACTTACGTCACCGATCTTCCGTCACGTAATTTACTCTAGTTTTGCCTGCCACACTTCAACGTATGTTCAGTTCGTAAATGTGATACATGAAGTTTGTGTATCGTGATTAAAATAAAACCTATAGGAGTAATATCTGGAAAGTTTTATTTGCTATACTTTAGGCAGGTCACATACATACGGAATTCCGTTTCGGGATTCCGTTTCGGAATTCGAAGATTCCGAATGTAGAAAGTTCATATAAAATGTATAACCCGTCATACACGTACGGTAGTATTCCGTTCGAAATTTTGCGGGCAAAACGAGATTCCGTATGTGTGTGGCTGACCCGTTCGTCGGAATTCCGTGTCGGGGTTCCGTATGGTATGTGGCCTGCCTCAAATGCTAAAAGAATACACATCAGGCAATTTCATTGCTTGTTAGATTAAGTTTGTAAGATTAAGTCTTTCGATGAACTTCTTGCATTGGTTAAAAACTTCATAACTAAAAATAAAACAAAATTTCGAAATCGAGTTACTCCAGAAGGAAGGCTGGTGGTTACTCTTAACATTTAATATAATTATAACTATTGTAGTTGTGCACGCGCGAGTTGTGGGTACGGCGCGGGTTGCGAGTTGAGAGGGGTGATATCGTCGGTCTCCGAGGTTGTTTGTGTCCTCCAAACGCTAAAATCTATACATACAAATATAAATAAAATTGAAGTGTCTGTATGTAATGTCAAAATAACAGCTTTTTACTAAATACATACGAAAGTATATACGGTACTTATAACAAAAAAAAATTTTTTTAAATTTTTGTCTGTCTGTTTGTTTAAGCTAATCTCCAAAATGGCTCAATCGATTTTGACGGGACTTTCACTGGCAGATAGCTGATGTTATAACTTAGGCTACTTTTATTTTGGAAAAGGAATTAGGGTTCCGCGCAAAAAAAAATTTAAAACCCATGAGATCCAATCGTAATAAATTCTACACGAACGAAGTCGCGGGAAACAGGTCATATTCTAATATTAATATTAATAAAAAATATGTTCAGTCATCTTGACGATGTCATCTCGCCCCTCAACCCGGGTCGTACCACAGCTCACACGTGGACAGGGTCGAGGGACAAGACGAAATTTCCAATCAAAAAGAGCACTTCGGCGATTCACATCGTGTGATGCGGACCTCGTGCGAAGCGCCACAAGACCCTCAGTAATAACATACAATACAATTTATCGGGACAATCAATCACAGTTCATCAGACAATCGATAAATTAATCGATAGTTGACCTCGGAAAATATTCATAAGTAGCAAATTGATTTATTGATTTCTGGCATGTATATATTGTTGATGTTATTGAATTTAAATATCTATATTAAGTAAGATAAAGTAACGGGCAATAGTTAGTTACGAATAGCTACCGAGGGTAACTGTCGATAAGTAAACTATAGAATGTTCTCAAATAAGAATAAAACAACCTGTGTATATTAATTATCTATATGTATTTAACACTTAGAAATACTAAAAATAATGGTAACATAATAAGCAATTAGGTAAAACGGGTTGGATTTAGAATCGTTTAGCAGGAATTTGGGGGAGTGAGGTGTTTTATTTGGTAGAGGTGTTAACAGAGTATAACCACAGAAGAATAAAAATACTATAGAAGTATAATAATTTGACACTAGTCTTACGTCCTTGTCGCACTTGCACAGAATTCTGTATGCTATCCAGCTTTTACAGTAATATTGCATACTTTTTACCATGTTTTACACATTTCAGGTTATAATAGTTTATAATAGTTGTTTCTCTAAAACGGTGCATTACCTTTTAATGCGAGTGGTATTGTTATAATGGAGGACCAAGCCTCTACGAAATAAAACACCTTATTCCCCTAAATTCATGCCAAACGATTCTAAATTTTAACCGGTAAAGCATCAAAGTGATAAAGATATCTTAAATGCGTCAATGAATTTAAATTAGAAGTTGTGTTTTGAAGCAATTCGTCAATGTGTTCAATTGATTGTGTAAAATATACTGATTGAGGTGAATCAGTCCTATCAGAATACTCCGCTAGTTGTGGTGCTTGTATATTGCCACCTAAATCATATTGACGAGATGTTTGTGGTTGTATGTAATGTAACCTTCGTAATAGCTACGTAAAGTGGTCTTGCTGGACGTTGGGTAGATTCGCCAGACTGTGTGAAGGAAATATATACTTTCGTAATAAATTCATAACGTCCATTAGAAATTCGAATTTTTGTTATTCTGTTAATTTTTTTTATTGCCGGTAGTAGCGATATTAAGAATTGTTTAACTGAATCATTGTCAATTTGTTAACTTAATAGCATATTATTAACTAATGACCTTAGAAACGGGGTCATTTTACCATTTTTTATTTCTTTTTGTTTGTTACTTTCTGCATTATCTGATTGTTGTCTTTAAGCGACTCTCTTGATGTAAAAGCTAGAGACTCATTACTACTCCGAAACTATTGCCTTTCAATATGTGACTCTTCAGGCAGTTGTTGGTCACGTTACTGCTCATCAAACTCATCAAGGAGTTGAACATAATTACTTGCTGTACATCTCTTTTCTCTCAACACACCTAAAAATTGGAGCAGTGGAATAAGTAGTGTTCTTCCTTTTTTGTAGCAGCACTATTCGCTTCTGATATTCACGTCTTTATTTTTCCTCTCGTGCTTCCAATTCTTCATCAGATCATCAACTGCAACAATAGATGCAAAAAATACATAGACCTCTGCTCGTAATCACCAAGAGAAACTAAATAAAAAAACCAGCCAAGTGCTTGTAGGATCATGCATCTCCATAACTCAAAAAGCTTATATACTTTGTTGCGTTTAAAGTAGAATAAAATATTAATGTATGACAAATGTTTATTTTATAGGCAGTAAATACTATAGTGGGTACTATTGTATTATAGAGTATCATGTAGTCTTTATGGATGGCTCTGAAACGAGTGGAAACGCCTACACCCTCCGAGGCGATGTGGTTGGGTATAGTGTATGCTATACGGAACGTAAACTAGAACGAATTTCCCGAATTGTATTGGGTATTAGTCGGAAAACACTTGCACATAAAAAATCCTGTTCACAGTGGTTCTTCTTTTCAATAATACATCAGATGCAAGTACAACTACTGCTTCATGTTGGAGCTTATGGTAAGCTGTGGTCTGGTAGGGACGTTTTAAAAACTCGATTGGCCAATGAACATGAAAAATTTTGGTTAATTAACTCCATGCTCCTCTGAACAAAAGTTTACGCAATTTTATTGGGCCACCACAGCCTTTTGCACTACTCGGCGATTAAGTATTTTCAATTATCGTCTTAATCAAGCACGAAGATGTGTGGAATGTGCTTTTGAAATATTAAGCAATTAGTGGGGTGTTCTACACACTGTTATATATACTGAACCTGATTTTGCGACTTGTTAAAAACTATACGAGTTCTTCATAATTTTTTCCGAAAAATTAAAGTTCTAAATAAGTCTAAATAAGTAAATAAAGAAGGATTAAAGTGCCAAAAAGAACTTCAAATATGCGAGATGAGCTTCTAGCCATGCGGCTAGAACTACTTCCGTCGTAAATACTAGGGAATATTCTAAAAACTACTTTTGCAACAAAGGGAAGCTAGAATGGCAACTAACCATAAATTACATACATACATAGAAATATAATGTTACTGCATATAAAATATAAATGTACTATTAAAATGTTACATGTGTTAAATAAAAACAAATCAACTTACTCGATTCATTATTTTTCTTTGACATAAAATACTCCCACTAGTTATTAAATAATACAGTAATTTGCTCCCAAGTTTGCCGTTTTACACTTCGGTCAATTTCAGACTTTTTCATCAAATTCCACAAGCCAGGTGTATTTTGTACCTCTAGAATAAAATGTTCTGTGTCGAACATTGTAGACAGGACGGGAACACATTAGCCGCCTTTACACAACACGTTCTTTCACTCGCGATCGGAGTTTGCGCGATTGAACGCGGGAAAGATTGCACGCGCAAACGTGAATGATTGTTTTTATCCATTTTTATGTGCGTGGACTCTTTCGCGAGCTATGCTATATTTTTATTCAGAGAGGAAAAAGCGTCGTGGAAAGGCTATTTGCGCGTGATTCAGTGCGTGAAAGTTCCGCGACCTGGAGTGTATGAAAATCACGCAGTTTTGTTAAACGCGCATTCTGAAGACTAGCGTTCTAAACAAATGAAGAAAAGGGTTACAAGGAATAAAACTACTCTAAGCGTACCTATAATAGACTATATATTTTAGTCAGTAGATCAGACTATATATTTATTAATTTATTTTTATATATTATTAAATAAAATCAAACATAAGATGGCGCGCATGAGACTTGTATATTGCTAACAACTCTGTAATAAGATCCTTGCTCCATAAT